GAATTCTATCTTCTATCTATCCTCTATCTATCTAAGCATGAAAATAGTTGGAGTCACTTTTTTCAGTAAACTTCAAACAGTCGCTAAACCAACTGTTTTAAGTCAGGGACTTCCTGCTGTCCTTATTTCAGGGTCTGATGGAAATGCATCCAAAGCCAAGACTTAGTTCCAACTAGCTCAACCTGTCTATCAAGGGATTTAATCGGAATGGAGCTGGCAGAGACCCTGAAGGTCTTCTAGTCTAGTCCCCTGCTCCAGCAGGGAGCATCAAATGGGTTTGTTTTTTTCCTTAGATAGCAACACAGCAATAAGTCATAGTGCAACCTCTACATGGTACAGGTAAGTCCTCAACATACAACAGTTCATTTAGTGACCGTTCAAAGTTACAATGGCACTGGAAAAAAAAGACTTATGACCGTTTGTCACATAACCGTTGCGGCATCCCTCAGGTCATGTGATCAAAATTCAGACAGTTGGTGACTGACTCATATTTACGACGGTTGCAGTGTCCCGGGGTCATGAGATTCCCTTTTGCGACCTTTTGACAAGCAGTCAATGGGGAATCCATATTCATTTAACAACCATGCTTTTAACTTAACAGCTATAATGATTCACTTAACAACCGTGGCACAAAAAGATGTAAAACGGGGCAAAACTCACTTAACAAATGTTTCACTTAGCAACATAAATTAGAACTTAATAAGACAATTGCACTATTAGAATTATATAACTTGTCAGATGTAAACATGATGAATACTATTCTATTTTTAATAAATAAGTTGTAAAATGTGATTAGAAAGGGGGATGTTTTTAAAATATAATAGTGGCATAGTTAAAAATCAGAAAGGGGATAAATAATGGAAGATTATAACTCAACATAAATGGGTGAATTATTATTAGAATTATATAAGTCTGTTAAACACCACAGAGATGATTAATAATGTTTTATTTGCAGTTAAAAGAGGGATATTCAGAACATGGAGATTGATACAAAATTAAGAGATTGAAATGGTGAATAATCAAAGAATGAAAGATTACAATTTAACAAAATGTGTGCATTAATATTAAGATTGTTTTAAATATGAAAAATATTATCATATTTGTTTTAAAATGTAAGACACTATGGTGCCACACTGTTCATACAATGTTTGTAAAAAACAAAAAATAAATAAAAAATATATTTAAAAAAGCTCAATTGTGGTCATAAGTTGAGGACTACATGTACAAAAAAGAAAACCAGCAGAAGGAGCATTGATTAAGAAAAAAAGAGCCAGTCTAGTGTAATTAAGTTGCTGGAGTAGAAACTAGTAAATTAGTTCTAGTCCCTCCTGAGGTAGGAAAGCTGGCTGGATGACTTGGGCCAACCCCTCCCTCTCAGGCCAACCCAGGTTGTTGTTATGGGGAAAAAAAGGTGAGAAAGGAGTATTGTTAGGCATTTTTGCTGCCTTGAGTTACTTACAAAGTAATAAAGACAGGATTAAAAAATAAATAAATAAAATAGAAACAATCGGTTGCTTCTTTCTGGTGTGGCTCCTATGTCTGTTTTTTGTGTATATATACTGTGTGTTTGTAAGTAACTAAATAAAAAGGGGGAAATCTTCCAGGTGATAAAATTGTCTCAATATTTTCAGGAAGAACCTAGAGGGCCACCTCTCAAGGATGGTTTAAACTGGTCTTTCTGCATAATGCAGAGGGTTGGACTAGATGATCTCATGCTCCCTTCCATCATTCTAGGGTTGTATTGTAGCCAACTAACAGGAAGGGTATTTGGAAAAGCTGGGCTTTGTAGTTAAAGCCAAACAAGGAGAGGAAGGCCACGGGTGCAGTTTCCTTCTCCATCAACACCCTCTTCAAACTCTATGAGATTATAGATAATTAAAAAGAATTAAAAGACAGACATGGGTAATATCCAAATTTCACTCTGGGAAATCTGACAAGTGAGTTGAAATAAGAGTGGAAACTCTCATTTTTACACTTCAAGCAAAACGAGCCTCTTGGTAGCGAGATGAGTGACATATAAATTCAACTTCTAAATAAGGAAAACACAAAGCAGCTTAAATTCTTGCTTTAATTCTAGAAGGCTTCTCACAGAAATTTTAAAAAGGGACGGCAGATAAAGACCTAGGGGTCCATCAACTTTGCCTTTTCAGTTTGTTTTTTGTTATTTTTGTTATTTTAATTATTTTATCTCTATGTGTGTGTGTGTGAATCTATGAATGTATATGTGTGTGTGTGTGTGTATATATATATATACACATACATACATACACACACACATAAAATAATTAAAATAACACACACACACACACACACATATATATATACACACACACACACATATAATGGTAAATATAATTCAATATTATATACCTTACAATATAATGTGTATTATATTGTGTATAATGTGTATATATGTGTACAATGTGTATATTATAATGTGTATTATATAATGTGTATTATAAATATTTATATATATTGTCGGAGGTGTCCCTCTGACATCTGCCCTTGAAAAAGTGAAACCATATTGAACCTGCTTGGGACTGGATGAGAGACCACCAGGAGATCCAAACTGCTGCTTCAGAAAGACCCTGAGAGGAGGACCCCAGCAGGCTCTCCTCCCCTTTCTCCGGCCAGGGCTTTAAGCATTAGCAGCTGAATCCTTCCCAGCCGCCTGCTCAGCTAGGGAATCGCACCTGCTGTCCCTGGACGGGAGACCACCAGGTGATGCCAGGGCCAGAATGGGACGGGAAGAGGGGAAAGACCCCGGAAGAAGCCAGAGGAGACCCGCCATGAACTCGTCGGGAGGCCAGAAAGCGCTCACAGGGAAGGGGGCTCTTGAGGTCATTTAGCCCACCCTCTCCTCCCCGGGCTCCTTCCTTAGAAGCCCCATTCCCAAGCGAGGCCCCCTCCCTTCTCCCAGATCCGCAGCATGGGTCCCCTCGAGGTCATCTAGACCACCACCACCCCGCCCGGCGCTGGGCCCGGGGCCTCACATGTTGTTGAAGCGGAAGAGGTCATTGCAAGTGAACGCCCGCAGAGAAGTCATGCCTGTCTCCAGGGCAGCCGACCCGGAAGCCGCCGCCGCGATGCACCGCCCCGTGACCCCCGAGCGTTTCCGCTCCGTGACCCCGAGCGTTTCCGCTCCGTCGCCGGGCAACGGAGCCGCCGAAGCCACGCCCACCCGAGCGTAAGAGATGCGCCCCGATTCCAGAGCCGCCGAGGCCCCGCCCATTTGAGCGTAAGAGGCGCGCCAATCCCAGAACCTCCGAAGCCCCGCCCACCAGAACCTAGAGAGAAGTTAGTAGAAGCGCGCTGTATTCCTCGTAGCCGTCACTTACGGGCTCGCATCCCGTCAATGGGCCCTTTAAGTCTCCTCTCTTTCTCCAATCTCCTTCATCGTCCTACCTCGCAGGGCTGTTGTGTGGGAAACAAGAGGCTATACAAAACGCAGTGCAACCACCTCCTCTCTGATCATTGGGGGTCTGAGTGGAACCCTTGCAGCTGTGTTTCTCTCCTTGGCAACTTTAAGAGAGATGGACTTCGACTCCCAGAATTCCCCAGCCAGCTGGCTGGGGAATTCTGGGAGTTGAAGTCCACCTCTCCTAAAGTGTCCAAATTACACTGCACTTATATGGAGAGGTGCCAACTCAATTTTGCATCATGCACTCATGATGCCACACACAAAACCACACAAACACACGTCAGTTCCAAAGCCATCACTCCCACAGTGCCAAAAAATATGTGCATCCTTACAATCGTTAAATTGTTATAAATATGAATATTAACATCAATTAACATGTCAATCAGATTCCACTTACCATTCCTTTCTCCTACAATAGAAAGTGGAATCTGATTGACACAAAAAATAATGTAGCGTAAAGCAATTATATTACTATTAGAAGTGCACAACATGTTAAACGTAAATATGATGGATGCTATTTTATCTGCATTAAAATGTGACTTGAAAGGGGATGCTTTAAGTATAATAGTGGCATGATTAAAACTTGAAAAGGGGATGAATAATGGAAACATGGATAAAGAATTCTATTCTAAAAAAAATTCTATTCTAAAAAATATAAATCAATATGAATCTGTGAATTGTTATCAGAATTATATAATTTGTTAAACATTGCAAATATGATTATTAATATAGTTTCTGTAGTAAAAGGGGTGATATTAAGAATATAGAGATGGACATAAAAATAACATTGCAATATCGAATAAGATGGATAATTTAACAAAATATGCATATTAAGATCAAATCTTATAAGAATGTCAACCGCATCAAATATGAAAACTATTGTCACCTTTGTTTTAAAATGTAAGACACTCCTGAACCGCACTGTTCACACAATGATATGTTGAAATTTAAAAAAAAATGTATTTTTTAAAAAAGTGCATCCATCCAAATACCTTTAAAACACCAACCCTTCATCTTAAAAGACCATTTCTATTTAAAACCTTTATTTGCAACCGTAGGTTTCAGCCAAATCCAGATAAAATCCCAGCAAGCCGTTTCAGTTCAACACACCCTTTCTCATCTAAACAGCCTTTTTTGGTGTAATACGTTTTTTTCTTCTTCTTTTTATATCCATACAGGGTATATATTCAGAATGGACAAAGGTTGTGAAAAAAGTTATCTATAAAACCACAAAGCCTTAGAAACGTTCTATTCCGTGAATCAAATCTTGAATCGAATTTGTTCATTAGAAATTATTAGTTTGCCACTGTGGAACAGTATCTCTGCCCTTCCTCAAATTCTATTCATCCCTTAACTCTTTTCAAACCAACTTTATTTCTTGTGTTCATTCGTTCAACCGGATGTGTAGTGGAATGGCCTTGAGGTGGAGATCTCGCCTCACAATCAGGAGGCTGTGAGTTTGATCCTAGATAGAAGCAGATATTTCTTTCTCTGGGCACAATGAGAATACATCAGCTGAGCAAAACTCCGCATCAGCGACAGGAAGAGCATCCGGCCATTAAACTGCTCTGCTAGTCTCCATTCAGTTGCCCAAACTCCACCCCGCAAGGGATTATGGGGTCATTAAATGATGATGATTCGTTCAACCAGATCCACGTGACTCCGTAGCCTTGAAGAAGCAGGCCGACTTACAGCTGCTTCCTTTTTCTGGAGGCCTGCTCTGGACGGTAGTGAGAAATCATCTGAACGAGGATCGCGCAGTTGATGGCGAGGAACCCCAATCCCGCCAGGCAGAGGAGCAGAAATGTATTCTGCCCTTGAAACTCCAGGAAGTAAGCGGGGAGCAGCCAGAGACCCTGTCCCAGGAGCCACAGCGATAGCAACACTGCCCCCCGCCCCCAGGACATCTGCAGGAAAGGCAGCACCAGTGGGAGGAGGGACAGGTACCACAAGAAATACTGGGAGGTGCAGACTTTGTTAAAGCTCACAAAAACCGCCGTGTGCAAGAAGCAGCAGAAGGCCAGGTCTCGGTGGTAGGCGAAGGAGATAGCCAGAAGCAGCAGCAGCTGGGGCAGGAAGGCAGCCAGCCCCAGCGCCAAACTCCAGCGGCTTTCAGCCGTCAAATACAGCAGGTAGAAGTAAGGTGAGAAGTTGTGACGGGTGTCCCTCCGGAGCAAATGGTAGAGGTAGGTGTGCTGCAGGAATTCCCAGCCGTAGTAGACATAGAAGGCAAGACCTAGGGCGGCAAAGGTGGCCCCGGAGATGGTGGCAAAGATCAGGATGTCCCGTGTGAACCAGCTCGAGAACCGCCGAAGGAGGTGGCCTGGGCAAGCTCCCTTCCCTTTCCGTTTGTCCAGTTCTGCTCCTTGTGTGTTGCTTTGCAGGTAGAGAACAAAAGGCAGCGCGTAAGTCACGGGGTAGATCTTCATATGTACGGCGAGGCCGTATAGCACAGCCGCCTTCACCAGATGCTTCTTGGCCAGGTAATAGAGTGTGCCAAGGACCAGGCTGGCAACGAGCGACTCGGCGTTGCCTCGGCTGGACACCGTCATGGGAAGCGGGTTAAAGAGCCAGAAGGCGCAGCAACCACAAGACGTCCGGCTGTCCAGCCCGCGGAGGAGCAAGATCTGGTCGATCAGGAAGGCAGCCACCAGATCCCCAGCCACAAAAAGGATCTTGCCAAACAAGTCGCTGACGTAAATGTTGGGGGTTAACATCCAAGCCAGGAGGGGAGTGTAGCGGTACGTGGCCCGCTGGTAAGGGGACTTTCCTTCCGCTAAGTATCCGGCGGCATCGGTGAAAACCTGGTAATCGATGTCTGTGTATTTCACCGGCATCGTTCTGTCCTGGTAGATCCCGTAAAACGTCAGGCCCAGCCTGATTAGCAAAGCACTGCCGAATAAAACGTCTCTCCGGAAGAACCCTTTGAGAATCCGTTGCCTTAGAGGGGGATCCGGGCATGGCTCTCCGAGACTGGGATCACGATGAGAAGCGGATCCAGGAAGCGATCCGGATTTAAGAGCTTGTTTCAACATGGTTGCCCAAAGAACAAACGTTCAAGCTGGAAGAATTCTATTCCGTGGTCTTCTGAATTGAGCAGGCACTCCTGTTTAAAAAAAAAATGTAGCCACAATTAAAAAGAAAAGAAAAGCGGAGATTGAATTTTAAAACTGGACGGGCAGGCCAACACTTCCTTACTCAAAGGCTACCCCATATTTGTTTATACTTGAATATAAAATATAAATATAAAGAAGAGCAGCAAAGATGATTAGGAGACTGGAGGTTAAAACATACAAAGAACGTTTGCAGGAATTTGGTAGGTCTAGTTTAGAGAAAAGAAGGTGTCATGCCCCTGTTGGAATCTGATTCTGAGGGGGAGGTGAAACAGCTGACAGGGAGTGGGAGTGTGGCTCCGGTGGCATTCAGAGGAAGACCCAGGCCCACCCCCTGTTCATCCTAGAGCACACAGGGAGGAACGGATAAGGGAGCAACATGGGTTACGGGGGAGAAAAAGGTCCTGATTCCCTTCATTAGCTGCAGCAGGGAAAACAGGATTTAAAAAGAGCGTTTGCGCACAGCACCTTGCTGGAAGCAAAGCATGAATTATCTTTGTTTGTCAAGTCTTATCTGGGTTCTGGCATCCTCCCAAATGTGTGTGTTTTGTTATCTTTTGAAGTCTGCAATCCCTTATCCTGCCTTGTCTCATTAATTGCTGCAGCTGTGGTTTGTGTTGGTTTTTATTTATAATCTAGATGTACTTTGGGTTCAGACTGAATTTCTTCCCTTTAAACTGTTCTTGGGGTAATTTTTTCTCCAGCAGAAGATAACTGGACATTGGAGGTCAAGTTGGAGGAATTAAAGGGACTTTACCTACTTTTGTGACTTTGTTGCTTTTGTGCCATGCCCCTTTGGGTCATCACAGAAGGACATGGGGTGACATGATAGTAGCCTTCCAATATCTCAAGGGCTGCCCCAAAGACGAGGGAGTCAAGCTATTCTCCAAAGCACCAGAAGGCAGGACGAGAAGCAATGGGTGGAAACTAATCAAGGAGGAGAAGCAACCTGGAATTAAGGAGGAATTTCCTAACAGGTAGGACAATCAGCCAGTGGAACAGCCTGCCACCAGAAGTTGTGGGTGCTTCATCACTGGAGGTTTCTAAGAAGATTTTGGACAACCATCCATGTATCTGAAATGGTCCAACCCTACTTGAGCTGGGGGTTGGACCACAAGACTTCCAAGGTCCTTTCCAACCCTGTTATTCTGTTCCATTTATTTGTTAAATTTATTTGTCACTCATCCCGCTGTGAGGCTACTCTGGACAGCATATAACAATAAAATGGGGGAGAAAACAATAAAACGGGAATCCTGGGAGTTGAAGTCCAATGGTTTTAAAAGTTGCCAAGATTGGACACGCTTACAAACAAAGACAGGATTCTACACCTTAATTTTTCCTCAGTTCCTTTAGCACAGAAGCCAAAACTGCAACAGACATTAGCAGCTGCCCAAAGACATCTTGTTTTTCCTAGAAAAGATCCAGAAACCATTTTTCCTCCCCCAACGGTCACATTCCTCCAGCCGTGAAGGAACAAGTGAAGTTTTATCACAACTTAGACGGATTGCTATAAGAAAAAGTTAAAAAGTTGTTAAATGTTTAAAATTGCAGGCAGGAACTGCATACTTTTTCGTGGCTTTTCTTAGCAGAATGGCATTGCTGGCGGGCATTGAAAATTTTATGTACTTTCTATCTTCGACTACACACTCCACACATGGGAAGAACAAGGCCAGCAAAATCCCATTAAACTGCTCTTTCTCCTGCAACATTCATTGGGATAATTGTCGACTGTAATTAAAAAGATAATAATTAACTCTGGGAAGGAATTTAAAGGGACCGAGACCCCAATATCCCTTCTGCTACAGGCCAAAGGTTCCTATTTCAAGTGTAACTTTGAAATAAAATGTAAAGTCATTTAAAGAGCCCTTTCACTACATTAAACCTCCAAAGCCAAAATAAATGAGGAAGCCAGGGAGAAATGATAACGCTGGCAGTCTTGCATGAAACAATTTCTACTTTTGCTGACACCAACAGAGTTTGCAAAAGAAGTAAACGCAGATAATAGCACCAGGAGGGAAAAAAAAAAAAAAAGCAGTAAGCTGTATGAATTGAGCCTAAGACTAAAGTATTCTCACTTTTCACGATGGAGAGAAATGCAGCCCTTAAAACTTATTTTCAAATTTCGTCCCAATTCTTTTGAAAAGTACATTTTGAAGAAGGGAAACTGAAGTGGAGTTTCGCACAGATGATCTCCAAGCTGCTTTTCCAAAAGGCAACTGGAATGTTTTCTTCCTTGTGGAAGAAGACATTTCGCTTCTCCTCCAAAAAGCTTCCTCAATTCATGGTGACAGTTTCACACAGAGCTTTTCTCTGCCACCTCTTGGTTTAGATCAGAGGTGTCCATGCATAAGACTTGCAAACTGTAGGAATGTACTATAAATGCAAAGATGGTCATAAGTCACTTTTTAATGCCAATGTAACCTTGAACAATGGCTAAATATATGATTGTAAGTTGGGGACTCCCTGGATAGTATTCCTGGGGGAGTGGCCTACACAGTGATATATAAGGAGAAGAGAGAGAAATTTGCTCTTTCTGAATTCAAGAAGGGAAGAGAGGAGGAGGAGGAGGAGGAAGTAAGGGTATAGTGGAAGAAGAACAAATGAAGCTCAGGAAGGAAGAACTGGAGAAGCAGAAGAACAAGGGGGAAGGAGGAGGAAGTAGTTTAAGTGGTGGTAGAAGAAGAAGAACAGATGAAGCTCAAGAAGGAGGAGGAAAAGACGAGAGAGGAGAAGGATGAATGGAGAGGAGAAGGGAAAAAAGAAAAGGGGAAGGAGAAAAAAGGAAGAGGAGGAGGAAGATGCAGAAGGAAAGAGGGGAAGGGAAGGAAGTGGAGGTGGCAGTAGAAGAAGAACATGCTAGCTCAAGAACGAAGGAGGAGAGGAAGACGGAGAAGAAAATAAGAAGGAAAAAGGGTGAAGGGGGAGAAGGAAGAAGGGGTGGCGGTAGAAGAGAAAGAACTGGTGCATGCTCGAATGAGGAGGAGAAGCAAAGGAATGAAGGAGGAGAAAAGGAAGACGGAAGGAAAGGAGGAGAGGAGGGGAAGAGGAATAAAAGGCGCGTTTCCCCTTCCCCAGCATCTTCTTCCTGCTCTCGGGGTGCCCCACTTGAGACTCTGCCTTGCCCTGCCTCTTAGCCTGGGCGCCCCTCCGGGTGCAAAGGCCTCCAGGCGTCCACTGGGGGCGCCCAAGAACAACGGTGGGGGGGCTACTCACGCGGACGTCGGCGGGAGAAGCAGCGCGGACCGGACTCCGCTCTCGGGACGCTCAAGCGAGGAACATTCGACTCCCGGCCAGCAGGGGTCGCACCACGGGCGGAACCTTCCTGCCGGCCCCGCGCGCCGGGGGAGCGCGTCCGTGACAGGAAGAGTCCCCCATAAGCACTTCCGGTCGAGCGGCCCCGGCCTAACGACCGGCTTCACTACTCTACCGCTGGCGAGTCCGCCGGTAAGGAGCCGGGATGCGGCTGCTGCGGGGCGGGCTGGGCTTCCTGCTGCGCCCGGGGATCCGTCGCGGGCCCGGGCAGCCTCTCTACCAGCAAGGCCAGAGCCCCTCGCCGCGCACCCGCGAGTACTTCTACTACATCGACCACCAGGGACAGGTATGGGGGGGGGAGTCCCAGTGGGGAGGGGACAGAGGTGTTGAGGTCATAAGGTCAACCGGATGCGCCCTGGAAGGGGGTTGTTCGATTGGAAAGGGCATTTCCGGCTGGGGAGGGGCAAAGGAGACCCCCCCCCCCAAAAAAAAAGTGGGGGAAGGGGAAGCTTGCATTGCAGGTAGTCCTCGACTTACGACCACGTTTCAGGCTTACGTTTCTGTTGCTAGGCGACACAATTGTGGGGGGGGTTTGCCCCGTTTTACGACCTTTTCTTGCCACGGTTATTAAGTGAGCCAGAACAGTTGTTAAGTGAATCTGGCTTCCCCACGGACTTTGCTTCTCAGGAGGTTGCACAAGGGGAATCACACTGGGTGCGGCTACTCTAGAGGAAAGAAGGGCTGGGCCTAAGGGGGCACCTGAGAGCAGCCTTCCAATGTTTGAGGGGCTGCCACAATTCAATTCAACCTTTATTGCCAACGCACAACATGTGTACAATGAGATTGGCTGAGCCTCCCTTAGGGCACACACACCCCACACACACCCAGCATAAATACATATCAATAACTCACACTGAAAAAGAAAATCCCTA